GCCTCTACGTTTAACAAAGACCACCCACAAACTGATTAGTCTGGGGGCCGAGTTCACTGCGTCCCAAGTGTCTATCACCTTGCCATCATCTAGAAGGTCCACTCTTATGCTGTTCAGCGTCCGCACATTTTGAACGTTGTTGTCTCGCAGGTCGAAGATGCTGGGATCCGAATTAGGGTTTAGGGTTTAGGGTTTAGGGTTTAGGGTTTAGGGTTGCCCTTGAAACCATATAACGCCACAAAGCCATCCAGCTCACCTGTGTCAGAAAAATAGCCATTGACGGTCACGCGGTCTCCGGATGTAAGTGCCACATTGGGGAAATTGAAGAACTTGGGAGAGTAGTTGGGAAAAGAGCTGCGCAAGGCGAAGCGAGAGGCACTGGGGATGTCCCGGACCACGAACAGTTGCATGAATTGCATATAGAAGAAGTCGGCTCCCTGCAAGGGTGTGTGATGACCACTACTTGCCGTCTTGCAGACGGCGGTCGAACAAGTAGACTCAGCCTATTGTTCCGCATTTTTTGTTCGAAAGCTTTTTGAAGGGTTTGCGCCCTCTTGACTGCCAACCATTCCTGGCCCGCCCCGGCCCCCACCGGCCCGTTTTGGCAGGTCTTGGGGAGGTATGGGGAGCCCCATGCAAGCCCGTCTCTGCTATTACGCACTGCGCTTGCGCGGTCTCAACGGCTGGCCATAACATATACTAGAGTATGTCAATATGCATATACGCATATCTATATCTATATATATATATATATGAAACTTCAGAGTATATATGTATATGTGTATATTGATTGTTGGTGGTGACTCTACAGCGGTCTGACAACTGAAATCCACAGCGGCTGACCTGAAAGAAAGAGCCATCCGCCACCAGCGATATGACCATGTCCGGCAGCACAGGCAGGTAGGGCAGCTCGTTGCAGGTAAAGGGGTTAACAGTGGTAGTGGTGGCGGTCGTTGAAACTGCCCCCAAGATTAGCCTTAGCACAGACACGGCCTCCTGGACTGAGGCAGTGTTTCATGGACCGAGGCGTTGATGTCCTGGACTGCTGTCAAAGTCTCTTTAAGCACAAGAAGAGTCTCGTTCTCCCACGCCGTAGGTGCAGGTGACGTCGGCGGAATCGTTGGACCTGGTTGCGTTGTGGGGGCGGAGCAGGCGGAGGAGGGGGTGGCGGAGGAAACGTCGTAGGAGGCGGTGGAGGCGGCGGAGGAGGCGCTGGAGGCCGATAATAATGATAACCATGATATCGGCGATAATGCCCATTATAAGGTCGTGCAGAATTTGACTCGATCGCCGCTACCTCCGGTGCCTGTTCTCACAAGTTTCAGGATCCATCTTATGCGCCGGAGTCTATCTCTGCTAGATGACCCTCTTCCCCTCAAAGGAGGGCTTCGATATTCTGTCAGCACTAATGACTACGTATCTAATCTTCTGAGCAGGGGCTGGTCCCTAGCACGTCCTGCCTCGTGTCTATCTGCAGGAAGAGCCAGGAGTACGCTGTCCTCGACTAATTCTAAAAACAACATGATCATCATCAATAAACATATTAACAACGCTTTGCTCTTGCAAGTAGGGTTCAGGGTTAATGGTTTAGTAGTATGGCTGAATACAACTCAGGGTTCTGACAATAAGAGCACAGCTCCTGAGAAAAAAATGTGCAGGCTCCACAAGGCTCAGCAACTCAATGCAAAGCAAATCCCACATATTTAAGCTGGAATGCTCCGGATATGCTGGATGTTCTGTGGCCTTCTTCTTTTCCTGTTTTCTGCACAAACCTTTCAGCAAATTTGTGGTTCCCCGGTCCTGTGCATGGGATATGGTTCTCAGAGCATGATAGGGATGGCTAGCCATCAGTTTCTGCAGGATTGGCGATTTGCCAATTTGCTTTGCTGTCTATGGCTTCAAGCTCAATAATCAGTCATTGTTCCTTTTGGTCCGCGCAAAAACAGTGAGAAGCAGAAACAAATACGATGGCGAGAGAAACACCAACACAACCACCCCCACTATCACCATCACTGCAACGACGACGAGCATCACGACCACACTACCACCACACCAAGAAAAATAAAAAGAAGAAGCAGAAGAATAAGCAGAAGAAGCACCTCAACAATGAAACAAACTGCACCCCAACGACAAGAATGGGCACAACACGGGAACAACAAGAATAACTGAAGATATCTACATGAAGCACCCGCAAACCTAGAAAGCATTGACCAGTAGCAGTAGCCCCACAACTTTTTGGCACATTAGCAACTTGCTGGTCCAGTTTGCTAGGGACCTGCGGCTTCATCTTTGAACAACAAAAAGGACTTGAAAGTAAAAAGCCTATTTTACATGGCTGGAAAGCTTATGACTGATAAAAACTTAAGGCTTCACCGCGCCCTGTCCTTCAACAACAAGGCGGACTTTTTTGAGGTCTACCATACCCTAAACTCGAAACCCTGAACGCTAAACTCCTGAACCCTGAGCTCTCAACCCTGAAACCCTAAACTCCTATATCCTAAAACTCTAAACTCCGAAACCCGGCTTGGAAGCATCCTTTTGCTTGTGCTAGCTCAAATTCCTTGGACCCAGAAAGGACCCCGAGAAACTCAGGCATCCTTCCATCCCAACAGCAGCTGACTCTGATCTCATTTCAGTGTACATAAGCCCTGAAATTCTGAAACCTATCAAGCTTGATCCGGAAAAACACAACTCTGAAAGACACTGAACAAACCTGTCGATCTTGCTGCTGTCCTCTGTCTCATCGCACCTGCCAGGCTTGGCGTCACGTCGGGAAGTGCATTTGCCAAGAGTCTATGCTTTGTACCCCCGCATCGGATAACCCCAGCGCAATCAGAGAGCGGTGCTCTCTAGAAATGAAGGATCCTGCACTAAAGCGAAATCGACACGACAAGTAACATCTTCGGAGTACGTCGGGGCAAGCATTTTCTTGACAAGTCATACAACACCACGGAGTTTAACAGCCTCATGGTGTTGTGGCACCCCTTACCTTTGTGGGCTCCGCTCAACTTTCAGCCATCTTATGGGGCTTAAGAGGACATGGGAATTAGCAAGCTGTTTGGGCACGGTTCCGAGGCTGAACCTCAAAGTCTGATTTTGACAGCTCTGACTTTGCGGGGCCACCTAGACCTGCAGTGCACATCAGGGCTGTTCCCCCTTTTGCTAACAAGTCCTGAATAGGGAATACAATAGGGGGCACTCTAATCCCTAAGGACTGTTAGTATAAGGGGGAACATCCCAAAGTGCACATCTCAACCACTAGTTGTTGGCAGCTGCTAACACGCACATGTCGCCAGCCTGGTGTCTGCCTTCGTGTCGCATGTCTCTCCCCGGGCACTGAAAAGCAGAAGTACGTTCCTTGGCTGCTTCGGGTACAGCAGGACCTGGATCGTTAGAGTTCGAGGGCTTGCTTGGAAGTAGGCGTCCGTACACAAAGAACAAACCCTTGCAGCTCATTCCCAAAGGGGGGTTTCCGATTCCCTAAACCCTAAACCCTAAACCTTAACCCTAAACCCGATTAGGGGTACCTGCATGGGTCCTTTTTATAAGGGCATCCCACTACCTTGGGGGGCCTGTACTAGGGGGTCCCTTATGTTCGCAAATCCCCAAACCTAGGCTCCCCTTAGAACCTTAATAACAACAACATTTTAAATCTCCTCTTGGGTTTCATATGAACAAAAACTAAAAGAATAATTCCCAAGGGGGATATAGAAACAGCCCCAAGACAGCAAAGCGTCAACAAAGCGACAGCGTTGGCCATGGCTATGGCCTCAGGCAACCTGAATACGGCGGCCTCTTTGGGAGCCCAGGTTTCAAGCGGCCCAGCGTTGCATACAGTGGATGACTTATATATATATATATAGTTTACATATATATATATATAGTGGGTTGCACATGTAGATTTGTTTGGATTTGTTGCAGCAGTTTGCATGTAGAAGGAAACCGTTCTGGACGTCTATTGCATTTATTGTGTGTCTTGCATTTAGGGCTTGCGTTTGCGTCATAAGGGAGACCAGTGTTCGTTTGCTGAAGCAGCTGCATTGTGTATGCTTTCTGACAGACAGCTGACTGACAACTTCACCCCGCACTTGTGCAGCAGATCGCTGCTCGAGATCCAGTGTGCGGACTGCGGAAGCTCTTTCACACATGCTGCAGGCATAAGCCCTGCAGAATCTCAACCGTGTCCCTGCAGTGCGTGCGGAAGCACTTGCAAGAGAAGGTCGTCGATCATGATGCGAAAACGTACGCAAACTTTGAGTTTTCGTGCCTCTAAGTTGCACATCCACACCACAAGCCAACTTCGTGGATCTCAGGAAATGACAGCATTCTGGCGCAACACGAAAGGTCGAAAGGTGACCTTTGCTTCGTACTAGTTCTGCTGCTGTGTCTACTTGGGTTGCTGCTTGTACAGCTACCGCTAGAGCTACAACAGTTGTGTCGTGTGTTGTCCATTGACTTTTCAGGCATCGGTCTCGTCGCACTCTGTTGCTTCGCATTAGGCCATGCCAGTTGGCAGAATGGCACTGCGAGATCGCATGCATCGGCTTCGTGGCGCCTTGTCCCCTTGATCCCTCTGTTCAGGCAGTTCTCATTGATGGTTTCCTGTGCTGAGCGGAGGCCTGACGTGATGTTGATAGTGACAACGCACAGTCCAGAGCACGGCAAGCCCGTGCGAGGTCCAGGATGAAGGAAAGAAGGCACGTGGCCAGGTGAAACACAAGCTCCTGGTCGCAGCGAGAGGCGCGACCAGGGCAGGAAAAAGCGTATGACTGGACCAAGCTTCGCCAACTCTTGACCTTGTTGAAATCGGATCGGGGAACAACAAGAGATGTAAGCTGCGACATCTGCGACCCCGAAGCATGGAACGGGGGCCTCAAGAACTAGACATTCACGAATCCGAGGCTGTAGCTTGGCAAGTCTGCCACATGAGACTTAATGTGACGAGGCAGCTAGAAGGTTCGTCTGTCTTTTCACACTCACTGGTCCTGCATCTTCAGGTCTTACTGCAGCACCTGGGATGCAGCCAGGGAGACTGCAGAGAAGCTCTGCTCTTCAACATACCTGATGGGCTTGTAAATCATATGTCTCTACGTATGCATGTATGCATGTAGGAATGCATGCATGTATGTATGCATGTATGTAGGAATGCACGCATGTATGTATGCATGTATGTTTGGATGTTTGGATGGATGGATGGACTTATGGACGGCAGCAAGCACAGACACTCAGCCACACCGGCACTGGCCACAAGCCCACGACCCAGAACCTCCCGAAGCCCCACAAGTAATAATGTAGGGGCCTTAAAAAAAGTTAGAATAGGGTTTTATTGGTACGTTCTACTAAAATTCAAACAAGGAGCACCCAAAATAGTATAGGTAATTAGAGTTTAGGGCTGAGGGTTTAGGATGATTCTGGCCACTACAATTATCGTTCACAGCCCCAAACCCCAAAACCCCTAAACCCTAAACCCCTAAACCTCAAAACCCCTAAACCCTAAACCTCAAAACCCCTAAACCCCAAACCCCTAAACCCACGGCCCGTCCACACAGGAGCCCCACCCCCAGGAGGTTCAGAAGGGCGAAGACAATGAAGAGGCACCTCTCAGAGACTCCAATACCCCTTAATTAAGGAATATACCTTAAAATCTTATCAGGGTTCCCATTATAATTTAAGGTATATTCCTTAATTAAAGGGTTTTGGAGTCTTTGGGCTTGGCTCAGAGTCTGCAACGGGGTTTAGGGTTTTGGGGGTTTTGGGGTGAAGGTTTTTTGGGGGTTTAGGGTTTTGGGGTTTAGGGCTTAGGGTTTAGGGGGTTAGGGGTTTGGGGGTTTAGGGGGTTTAGGGGGTTTAGGGGTTTAGGCTATAGGGGTTAGGGTTTAGGGTTTTAGGGTTTTGGGGTTGGTGGATCCGCGTTGGGTGCCTTGGTCTCGGGAGGCTGCAACCGAGGACTTCCGGTGAAGTGTACAAGAGCGCCCGGTGATCTCCCCTTAACTTAGGGTTTTGGGTTTAGGGTTTAGGGTTTAGGGTTTAGGGTTTAGGGTTTTAGGGTTTAGGGTCTAGGGTTTAGGGTTTAGGGTTTAGGGTTTAGGGTTTAGGGTTATCTCCCCTTAACCGGCCTGTAGGGGGCTGGGGATGGTAATGGCACATTCGCTCTGGATGTGGGTAGTTCTCCAAGATAGGGTCCCTTTTCAGGTCCCACTATCGTACCGCCCCCTTATAAAAAGGACACCAAAAAGGGGCCCTAGTTTAGCCCTAGTTTAGAAAACTATCCATGTATGTGTGTGTGTGCAAATGATTGTCAATTGTGGTGGTGATGCTGGTTGGCGATGCTGATGTTTATGATGCTCGAACTCATGCTCGGGCTGCCACCCTCCGCCGAAAGCCACGTATCGCTGTGGAATGCGCTTGCCTTGGTCTGCACTGCTCTCCGCAAGCTTTGCACTCGCGGCCGCAAGAGGGAGAGGAACAAATGAGCCCAGGGCCCAGGAATTCACCTCCAAACACTGCCAGACCTCGCTGCGCGCTTGCAATTGCCGCGGCGACTGCATGCTCCAATGACAGACTGAAAAGCCGAAGTTGGCAGCACATGCAGCGCCGCGAGTTTACACTCGTGCAGCCGGGGTGTTTCAGTTTACACAGCTGCAGTGGGGTGGCAGTGGACATCCACATTCGCACACAAAGGGAATAATCACACATCGCGACACGCACAGTCGGGTCTACATTCCGATAGCAAAACCTTGCTCATTCCTGCATCGCAGTCCTGAACTACTAGCTGCAAGTGCTGCGTCACATCTCCGCTGCTTGGGATCCCGTGATGTTTGCATCCCACCTCTCTGCATTCAGAACCCTAATCCTCAAACCGTGTGCTTCACAGACATTGAAGCCCCGGCGCAGGAAGGGCACTTGCGAAGTTCTGAGTGCTGAACCCGTGCAGATCGTGTGCCCCACCATGGCGCCCACAATGACGGCTATCGGATTCTGGTGCGCCTGCACCGCCGCTTCCAGCGTCTTAACAACAGCCCCACACCTGCCAAGCTCCTTCTGTCAATCCTAAAGCCTATAAACCCTAAACCCTAAACCCTAAACCCTAAACCCTAAATATAATTATAACATCCCACATGTACACATTCAGCAAGGACATTGAACCCCAGGGCCGAAAACAGCAACCCAAAGCCACAAAACCCCAAACGACTCCGGGGCCCCACGCCGCGAGGGAGATCGTTGCAATCTGGGATCTGTCCCCCCATTCTGCAAGGAAGGTCAGCATCAGCGCCTGGATAGGAAGCTTCAGTGCCGCTCGTGAGTACTCTGTCTACAACTCAAGGCAGCGAATCCGAAAGAAGACAGCCTTTGAAAGGGCAAGGGCACAGCAAGAGCTTGAAAGTGTCCTGTAGACGAAAACTTGACGACCATGACCATCATCCCCTCACTTAGAGACGAAAAAAACTGTCGCGACAACATCATTCTAAAATTCGCCATCGTATCTTCGTCGTCACCATCACCATCACCATCACCATCACCATCAGCAGCATCATCGTAATCATAAACTGCGTCTTCACCCTCCAACCGCCAACAGTCTGTGTTTGTACAGTAAGGAGTAGAAGGGACCGTTGCAAAGCAGTGCCCTCTGTGGCTGTCGGCGGAGGCAGAGCCGCACAGGATGCAGAGGCCGGGAAAAGCTCACTGCAACATCTGAGGACACGGGCTCTCCAGACCCAGTTCACTAAAACCCCACTCCCCTCCCGAAAGACCCCTAAAGCCCTTAAACCCGAAAGCTTAAAAGCCCGTAATGCCCCTAACCCAAGAACTGCAAGACCGCCCTAAACCCAAACTCAAATCTTAAACGCTACGAACCTTAATCCGAAACACTTAGCAGACTTAGCTCATAACCCCAACCCCTGAAACCCCCCCAGACCGCAATAAATATTCCAAAATCCTGAAGCCACCAAACCCTTCTAAATGTGTATATATATATATATACATATATATATATATATATATATATGGCCAGATCCTACGGACACACACCGGTGGTATAAACACACCAAATAGGTAGGTACACCGGGGGGGTGTAGCATATATATATATATATGTATGTATATATATATATATAGAGAGAGAGAGAGAGACTTCTGTTAATAAGGCTTAAAATCTCAAGGTTCTGCAGCTTAGGGTCTCAGGGCTGAGGGCTCGGAG